GGCTCCATCCATTGAATATTTGTTCTGCTTGAGCTCAAACGTGCATTTATTACATACTTATTCAAATATGAATGACTGAATCAATAAAGGATCGCTATCTGTAGTCCCATCCGTACGAATTGATGGAGGGTATTGCGTCACGTGGTCGCATTGGCCTACTTATAACACAGAGTGAACCCTGTGTGGATGCTGAAAAGGAGGGCAAGTTGTCTCACTGGGAACGATGTATAATTATATAATATTGACTGGCCTTGAGGGGTATATCAGAAATATTGACCAAGCTCAGATCATATTGCCCCGAGTCGAAAGACGAGGGCAATATGGTCTTAGCGCGGTCAATATTTCTGATATACCCCGAAAGTAAAGCCAGTCAATATTTTTATTGTTATCCAAATTAGACATCTAGAGCAAATACAGAAATCCACCATGACAATCTCAAGAACTGAACAAACTTTGTCAAACCAGCACTGTGCATCCAGTGCTTGACACAATTTTCGATACACTGCAAACAGTGTGCATTTGGTGTGATTATTACGTCACAATAGAGTGCGCGCAAAGTGCTCAGGTTCTCGTACGCATAATAGATGCGCAATGAAAATGACAAAATACGGCGCGGTACGATGCCAGGATGCGAGACCGTGGAAAATACCAAGGTATATTTTCACTCGTCTCTACACGCAAAGTCAATACGCGCAGGGAGACCAAGGAAAATACAAAGAATATACCCCTCCGTTCCCACTGCTAGTGAAAACTAGGGCAATACGGTTTTGTAAATGACCAGCTCAGATGTCTGATACGGGTAATAATGCATCATAGGACGGGGGTCTGATAATATCTTGTGCCTCGGTCACATCCTGGTCACACTGCCGATCCGACTCCACATCGACCGGATCGACTTTGTGCCCTAATATGTCTTAATTTATAATAATAATAACAAAGATAGTAATAATGTGTCTCGTTTACCCAGTGTAGTCTCATCAGTTTTAATACTTGAACAGGTTCAATCCATAGATTGAATTGTCATAGTTTCACAATCATCAATGAAAATTCAATCTATAGGTACTAAAACTGTTTTCCCCGAGGGCCCTGCAATCATATTACTAACCCGACTTTGTTTGATTGCATTGAATTAAAGTTACAAGGTTTGATTAATAAGAAAAACCAAGATAACAGCTAAAAGCTGGAGGAAAAAAACATAGTACATATTGTAATAAATGGGAGATAAAGAGGAAAATTAATGATAAGAACAATCAGAAGTGAAAGTGCTATGATAAAAAGAAGAAGAAGAAGAAGAAGAAGAAGAAGAAGAAGAAGAAGAAGAAGAAGAAGAAGAAGAAGAAAGACGAGGAGGGGAGGAGTAGAAGAAGGAGAATTACACAGAAGAATAAAGTCAAATAAGAAGAAGAAGAGGGAGAAGAAAAAGAAAAAGACACATGGTTGACAGTACAATAAGGGTTTATAATTGATAGATTGAAAAATTCAGTTCAGTATACAATAGTATAAAAGTAACGAAAAAATGGTTAATTCGGTTGTCGGTCTGAGCCCCGTCTTATAGAGTCGTTATTAATCGCAACTTATTTCTGATATATATAAATCGCAACTATGTACATAAAGAGATATGCAAACTTGCGATTGATTTTGTAGAGGACTTGCGATTGATTCGGATCAATCGTAACGTTTTATAAGACGGCCCCCTGTGGTCGGCCTTATCTTTGTAAATGAGGTAATACTCGACTCCAAACCACCCAATAATCGTCATGATTGGCCAATCGGGATGATAAGTATGGTATTGTATTGTATTTATTAACTCACGGTAAAAACCATAACAATCAAAACAGACTGCTTTTCAGCGAGTCCGTGCAAATTGTTACAAAAACAAGTAAACTTAACACAATTATATTGACAAACACATATAGAACACGTTTAAATATAAATTGTACTCGTCAAATTGAAGAGACGAACAATTTGTACCCCCCCCCCCCCCCTCCTCATGAATGAAAAATCGATAGAGCTGTTTTGTCGGTCTATTGCCAGTTTGTCGCTGATCTATCTTATGTGACTGGGGTAGTATCCTCATCGCTATCCGATCTTATCTGCCTAATATGCAATAGTTGGCTTTTCAATAATGCATCTAGCCCTGCGTCACAAACAAAGTATCGTGTTTCTTTGTTATCGGAGAACCTTGGCATCACAATGCTCTAAGGTATCAATCGAAAAATCAAAAACAAATTTCAAAATTATTCAAAATAGAAGCATAAAGCGCCACAAGGAACGACAGTTGTTTATTACAAAAATATCATATCAGTCTTACTAAAATACACATGCTTATAAAAACACATCAGAGAATATCCCGAAAGACATGGAGGGTATTTCTTTTCTTCTTTTCTTGTGAAAAGCCATTTTTTAGGTTATTCTCTTACCCCAGATAATGAAATGAAAGCTTCCGGCGCCGAGCAAGCTAGTCGTTATCAGTTTAATGGGCGTACCTCTCTCTCTCCCCTTTGACCTAAATAGGAATCCATTATCTTGATTAATTCGTTTTCATTTTCTTAATTATGTACATTTTTTTCTCTCTATGTCCTAGACTCCGGCGTGTATAGATATTGCCATACAGTTATTTTCTTCTATCTTCTTTAAGAGGGGGGGGGGGGGGGGGGGGGGGGGGGGAGGGGGGAGGGGGAGGGGGAGGGGGGGGGGGTTGCATGGGCTTTGGGTTTTGGCTCTGAAATGCACATAATAGTTGCCTTTGTACGTCATTATATCTCGTTCAGTAGGGTCTAATGATTTAAATAATGATACAGCCATGATAATATTAGATTAGTTGCGCCACATTTTCATCGAATGATCTCAAACATAGGAACAAGTCATTACGAATATTTAATCTACATACATAATTAGATCTTAAGCAGTTAAGGCCATGGCACACGGAGCGTCATTTCAATTGCATTATTCCCTTGCGCCAATAGAGCTTATATACACAAAATTTAGAGCATGAATGCGCCAGTAAAGGCTTGTTCAAATATGGCGCGGTCAACTGCCGCGGAGAAAAAGCGACCGCGGTTTCGTTAAATTTGAATTAATGGCAATTGCGCACAACGCTACTGCACCTCTGAGCTACATTTAACGGAGATAGCATAGGGTGAAGGAAATAGTGTAATTCTTTTTTCTGTAAAATGTTGGTGTACATGTATATAATATATAGGAAGCGAAAATTATACCGCCCCCACACACACGCACACATACACACACTCGATCCTCTTCTCGTCCGTTCCATTATCTTTCTTGTAACGCATAGCGTCACAGTGAGTTTCATTTTAAAATAGAGTAAACCTGAAATGAAAAACACTTGTAGTATTGTTTTTGATATCATTATATATTTGTTTGAATATTTACAAAGTGCTATCAATAATGATGTATTAATTTAAATGATGACATCAATGATAACTGATCTGCAGTCTGATTTACCATACACGTTGACCGTTTTATATCAGTTTTCCGACGCAGGGATAATCATCCCTTTTTGAAAGATTGCTCTGGCGATAATCTTGTCATTGTTTTTTTCCTACAGTTACTGTAGCGAAGTTTTTTTTTAATGTGAATCATCTATTCAAACTCATGAATAACATGACCTTTTGTTTCGCCAAGTTGACGACATCCCGGCCTCATTGTTTTTCCTACTCCTGATTGAAAAGGAGGTTAATGATTAAAAGGCCTGGAGCTGATTTCTTCGTGTTTATTTGCGCCGGAAAAAACCTAACAGAGATCGTATCATTACCTCATTATAACTTTTCTTTTTCTTTTTTTTTCTTCTGTTTATTAGAAACCGATCATGTGTTATTGCCTTCGTGAAGTGTATACTAATTATGGCACGATATGGAAGGCACATTGTTGACAATTTAATGTTGAAGGGTTAAAGGGATCCGGTAACTTTGTCTCAGATCCTTCAACAAAATACTTGATTTAGCTCATGCTGCAATCATAATTATATAACCTTTATATCATTCAGGAATCCCGTGACTTTTACAAGCCGACCGTCTGTCTGATTATCAAGATATTTATGATTGAAAATCGAGATTTCATTTTGCGTTTTCATAACACTACGGTCTATTGGGGAAAATGAGTATGGTAAAACCAGTCACTCAAAGATTTTTACTTTTTGAGGCACTTCATGATCATTTTGAAGCTCATTTTTTAGGGCTTCAATATTACACCATATCACAGACACTGATAACACGTAGGGCCATGCATATCAGATTTAACATTGTTAAACGACGCCTTTAAAGGCAACGGATTCGGTTGATATTCATTGAGTATTCGTCAGAAATACGAAATAAAAGATTAGCATGATAATCATAGATATACATCATCTACTTGAGATATGAAACTACCGCAATACCATGGCTCCCGGGTCTTGTAGTTGTAGTAGTGGCGGATATTTTGCCTGACTGCTAAGAAAACATAAATGCTTGTTGGTAAGCAACCAGACGGCCGACGGATTTAGGTCCTCACCGAGGGACCTGGTAATGAGGATTAATGCCTTACCAAAGGGCACTAGCGCATCGACTTGGTTTCGAACCCGGGTCACCAGATAACGAGACCACTGCGCTATCGACTGAGCTATCGCGCCTTGATTTCATCAGTTGTATTATTGAAGAAAAACATACTTACCTATCATTAGAGAAAGAGAGAAGGGGTGGGAAAGAGGAAGCAAGTATGAAAGAAAGAAAGAAAGAAAGGGAAAGTGGGGGAAGGAGAAGGGGAAGTCAGACAGAACTTCAACGAGGGAGAGATAGAGAGGGGAGGGGAGGGAAGAGAGAGGAATCGAAAGAGAGAGAGAGAGAGAGAGAGAGAGAGAGATGAACCAACTTATCATAGGGAACTCGCTTGGATTACTTTTACAAATGTTTTAAAATACATTTTGTTCCAGTCACTTTTCTTTGATTGCGACTATCATTACTATGTTTTTCTTTCTATAACTCCTACTACCAAGGGACGCCAACATGATTCCGGTTGGTCTTTTAGATTGTTGATTTCTTTTCGACGTTAGCGGCAAAATGCAATTCTGAAGATTGTATCGGTGTACATTTTGCTTGTCATGCTTGTTGTGAAAATTTAATTTGTCTGTCGGTTCTTTCATTAAACACCTCTACATATCTTCCTCCTCTTCATCTTTTGCTTCTTCTCTTCATTCTTCTCCTCTTCCTCCTCCTCCTCCTCCTCTTCCTCTTCCTTCTCCTTCTTCTTCTTCAACCCCTTCTTCCTCTACCTCTTCTCCTCCTTCTCCGCATCCATCTTCCTTTTCTACCCTTTCTTTTTTCTTTTTCTTCTTTGTTCTCTTATTATATCTTTAGCCTGCAGCCAATCGTCACTTTCATCATCCTCTATCAATCTAGCTCTAAAGGTCTAGAAAACCAATGATTAGTCCGAGCTATGTTCGTACTCATGATCCCACGTCTTGCTTACTCCGATTACTTTAATGAACATTGGGGATGCCTGGAAATAAAACATACTGTATTTCTGTTTTTCGTTTTGGTTGATGCCTATCAACTATTGCAGTCATATTGATAGTCAAAGGGGAATGGTCAAACTAGCTTGTCCTGCCGTATATCAACTTCCAAAGTAGCTAAACATATATCAACTTCCAAAGTAGCTAAACATACAGTTTAAAGGAACGGTAGGATTGTAGGTTAAGCAACCAGGGAACCGACGGCGTTAAGTCCTCTCCAGGGTACTCGGTAATGAGGATAAATGCCTAATCAAAATGTATTAGCGCATCGACTTGGTACGAGACTATTACTGAGCCATGGAGCCTACCTGTGTTACCTGTGGGGGGGGGGGGGGGAGTTGTATTGTTTATAGTTTGATGGCAAAATGTTTGTCCCCGTTTTCCATGACATCGAAAAAAAGAAAAAGAAAAACCTTGACTATGTACAATCTTTTTTACGACTTCGAACTTTCGAAATAATTCACCTAATAACTTAGAAGCACCAACTAACTTGGCTTCTTGGCTTTTCAAGCGATTATTGAGTTTAGAAAAGTGAACGGCTCCAGGATATCAATTACCTGGCGGGAAATTGGGCAGGTTGCGTATCGAATTTCTTAATTTTGAAGTTCGATCCTCTCCCTATACCCCAAATAAGAGATTATAATTATAGGGTCGCTCTAGCGAAGAGAACCTCGATACAGGCCTACGGGAAAGTGTGTTTATAGACTGGGACTGCTAAGTAAAGGGAAATCGAACCTTGGTAATGAGTTAATTTGTACGAAGGCAGAAATATAAGGCTAAAGAGAAATGCGAAAACTTGAAATAAATCGGATAAATGATGAGGGAGTTACCAATGTTTTAGATATGATATCACTAAATCTACACAAATCTCAATTTTCACCGAAGCATGGTCATAGCCCAAATTTTTGGAGCACCGACATACTGCTAAAATTGTGTTTTAATAGATGTTCCCTTTTGGTTCATGAGATATATGTGTATAACCATAATAACAAAAAAAAACATGAGTCATTTTTATAGAAAATAATAGTCTGTGGGTGTACTATTTATGACTTAATAAATTTAATAAATTCATATTCGTGTTTAATAATATGCGTGTGTGGGCTCGCGTGTATAGGGCTCGCGCGTGTGTGTGTGTTTTAAACAGCATGACTACATTATGTTCTACAATAATTGTCTGTATAACAATTAAAACAAAAATAGTTGTGTTTGTTTTATGTAATATTTGATAATTTTTATAACATTGTTTGTATAAATCAAGTCTAATAAAAACAAACACTATACGATTCAATTTAATTTTAAATTTAGTATGCAACTCGACGTATTTATTTATAATTTTCTTATTTCGTTATTCGTTTACAGCTCTGGTAGTACGATACCTGACTCACCGATACATCGGCGACTACGATCCTGATCTAGGTGAGTGATTTCATAATATTGGTAGGGTATCTGGGGAGGGGGGAGGTACAGGGGCACAGGGGCACTTTACCCTCCCCCAGTTGTATATAGTTGATGCACAGTAGTGTAAAAGTGAAATAGTCTGCCCACAACGTCTCCTTCTGTTGAAAGTGCTCACGAAGTACCACTATTAATTTGATCTGATTAGATATGATCATTAATTACCTAAATTAATGTCGTATGGATACAGCACATAAATATGGACTACATACATATTGGGTAAATTGAACTAATGGAATAATAATAGCATAATGTTATAATGAGCTGAAAGTTACTTTATAATAGGATCGCATTAAGTACACCTGGATTAAGAGTGACAACTCTATAACAATATCTTACCAAAGTACTAGCCAGCGTTGGGACTCGAACCGCGGACCATTTTGATCCACAGTCTTGAAGCGTATCCACTAGACCACGAAACTCAAGCATCCCTGAGCCTCAAATCTCGCCGGTCCTCTTATTCATTATGAATGCTTCTAGTCCACGTGTTCCCTGTCTGCCTAACTAATTCCACCCTAATGCAATTATAGTATTTAGCCTACATCGCAAACTAAAATAAAACGTGAAAGGCATACATTTTATTAAACTCTCTAATCTTCTTCCCACCCTTTTATAAATTTCTCCTCCCCATATCCACTTAACGCCCGCAAGCAATATAACCCAATTTCTAAAATGTTTATTTCATACAAGCGAAGGTATAGATAGATAGATAGATAGATATTTGGTTTTATTCAAGTACTGATTAAAAAGTCCGAAGACTAAACAAGTCAGTTAACAATATAAAATGCATAACAAAAAATATAACAAGGTAAAAAAACACATGGATGAATTAAATCATTAATAAGTTAAACAAAATATAATAAGTATATAAGTACATAATAATAAGTAAATAAATAAGTATATACAATTACCATAAATAATTATATATAATACGATCATTGCTACAGTGAAAGGACTTGGAATTCAAATTAGAAACAAATTAAAACAGCTTTGGGAGATCATACTATTACCATAAATAATTATATATAATACGATCATTGCTATAGTGAAAGGACTTGGAAAATTAAAAACAAATTAAAACAGCTTTGGGAGATCATACAATTACCATGAATAATTATATATAATGTGATCATTGCTAAAGTGAAAGGACTTGGAATTCAAATTAAAAACAAATTAAAACAGCTTTGGGAGATCAAACAATTACCATAAGTAATTATATATAATGTGATCATTGCTATAGTGAAAGGACTTGGAATTCAAATTAAAAACAAATTAAAACAGCTTTGGGAGATCACATTAATACTAATGCTTGAGATAATCATTATGCAATAATTAATTAACATTTAAAAATTCACAATGGCGAACATATGAGGGCATAACTAAGAAGTTGAATTCAAAAGTTGTATAAAGTAAGGAATGGGAGAAAGCTTGCGTCTTTGAGTTCGTATACGAGATAATGTCATGTGTGTAGAGTTCCGAAGATTGCGACCTGTGATTGATTTTCTACTTTGTGGCAAGAGATGGCGATGGTCAGGAGAGGTTAAAACTGATTTGGCAAATTTAGTTGCTAGTTCGAGACGCCTATTACTAAGGGATTCTAGTTTTAAAGTTTTGAGGAGTTCACTATATGGCAGTAAATTTAGTCACTTCATGTGCGGGGATGAAGGTAGATCATTGTGTATGGCGGGGGGAGGGGGATGCCTTAATTTTCAGAAGATTCAGTTAAACATTTCAAAATAAAAGAAAAGAAGAGAAAACATACTAAAAACATCAGTTATGCGACTTACCGACAATGCTACGAATTGAGAATGTATTAATAGAAGATTTTTTGTTTTCAATTTATTTAATTATCATTGATATATTATTGATTTTGTTATAATGTTTTGATTTGTTTCATTTTTATATCTTATCGTTTATTTGTATTTTGTATCGCCATAACAAAAATACATGAATGTAAGTTTCATAAAATTAAAGTCTACATTAAATCTCAACCTATAACAAATAAAGAGAGAGGGAGAGATAAAGAGAGGGGAGACGGGGAGGGAGAGAGAGAGAGAGAGAGAGAGAGAGAGAGAGAGAGAGAGAGAAGGGGCAAAACGAAAATCTGTTATATTACTTTTATTTTCGGCTTTTATATAGACAGATCATCTTACAATAGACGGATTGCCCTTAACCAATACTAGGCAATATAATTTGAAATATCAATGGCGGTCGTGGAGGTTGTAAACGGAAGCAGTTTCCTCGCATCAAATAGGTTAAGTGCGATATTAATCAAAGTAAATTCTGTTTACTGTCATGCACTGGAGACAGAGAGACAAAGAGACAGAGAGAGACAGGGAGACAGAGAGAGGGAGGCAGAGACTGAGGCAGAGAGACAGAGACAGAGAGACAGACAGAGAGTGAGAGAGAGAGAGAGACGGTGTTTGGGGTGTGGGTGCGCGCATATGTGGGGAGGGGTGCGTGTGCGTATGTTGGAGGGGGAATGCGTGTGCGTGTGTGGGTGTGTGTGAGTAGACAGAAATTGATGTGCTGCCCACGAGGCGCTCATGTTATCTTTACATTTAAAGAAAGGGGAGGGAGACACAGAGAGAGGGATGGAGAGAGAGAGAGAGAGAGAGAGACACACACACACACACACACACATGCACGCGCGTGCACACACAAAGGGACATAAGCAGATTCAAATACAGAGAGACAGACAGACATATATACAAAGAGAGAGAGAGAGAGAGAGAGAGAGAGAGAGACAGACAGACAGACAGAGAGAGAGAGAGAGAGAGAGAGAGAGAGAGAGAGGGGGGGGGGAATTCTGGCACCTTCTTGCAGAATTGATTAGAATGAATTCGCTGATTGAAAGAACTCCCGTTCGCGGAAAATGGTTGTTTATTGAGAATGGTGTAGTGTTGGTCAATCTATTGAATTGAGGGATAAAAAATTATTGGGAGGGGGAGCATCGGTCATGCTCGATGGATGAAATTTAAATAAACGATGCCACCGATTTATAGGATGTGATGTGGTAGATCATCCTATCGTAATCTTTATTTTTGCAGAGAGAGAGAGAGAGAGAGAGAGAGAGAGAGAGAGAGAGAAACAAAGGATGATACGAAAACAACGCAGTTATTCATTTACAAGCACCAAAATAGAACCTACATGTATACACTATCTTAATTTACTGCTTTTATCCAGATGGTGACAGTTTGTACCATCATTATTTCCGGGAAATGTTCAACAAACATGTTGTTTGCGTTGGACCTCATACTTTTAAATAAGAATTCTGGAAATTCTTAATTCTGAGTAATCAATAGTTTAATAGGAGTAGGAAGGCTTTCGCTTTTTTCACAGTGTGACGTCACAGTACGAGCTGGGAATTTATATAATTCGTTTTTTTTTTTTTTAAATAAGGGTGTTTGTGTGGCTTTCTTTCTTTCTCTGGCATTTAATGACCATAATCTTCCAATAAAAGCCATTTATGTAAACATGTTGTTTTGTATGGTTGGGCATAGCGGTGTTAAGTACAAAGCCTTCAAATCTAAATTTATTTGTTTTCATTGTAGGAAAAATGTAGTAAATATGGTTATTTTAATCACTGGTATGAAGGCAATTTAAGTATTATGGCATTTTTTTATAGGGAGACTTGCGAAAACATGTTGTTTCATTATTTGGACTTATTTGAAAAAAAGGAATGAAGGCTTGTTTTTCCCTACTCGGAATGTATTATGTTTTCTAGAATGTTTTTGTTTTACATGGTTTGAAAGTTTTTGTAAAAGTAATTGTTTTCCATATGATATGAGTACAATAATAATAATATGTTTGTTTCGAAACTGCAACTGAGCAATTGACATGAGAAGCCCCAATCATGCCTCTTCCCTCTTCTCTCTCTCCTTATTTCTCTCTCTCTCTTTCTTTCTCTCTATGTCTCTGTCTCTCTTTCTCTTTCTCTCTCTCTCTCTCTCTCTCTCTCTGTTTCTCTGTTTCACGCGCGCTCCTTTTCCCTACTCTTTCCCACACTCTTCTTAAAGCTCCTTCACCCCCCTCTCTTCTCCTTTCTTCACCCCCCCCCTCTCTCTCTCTCTCTCTCTCTCTCCCATCTCGCAGCTTAAACTGTCATCCCTCCCTGTTTCGTTTCGCGTCTGGAAATATTTGATATTTATTTTCTTCTCCATGCTTCATAATATCTATTGGCAATGCGAACACGCTTAGATACATCAATCAAGGGTGTTAAAGAGAAGGTTGAGTTCTGGGAAGAGGTGAACAATAATTTTTGAGCGTTATATTATGGAAGAACATCAGATAAGACATGTTCCCTGAAAAAGCATGGCTCTTCGAATGCCTTCATATTCTAAATATGTCATGTAACATCGTAAAAATCCGGGTAGGATTTTTACCCCCATGTGTTCGTGTGGTCCCATATACATCTTTCTGTGTACAGTGTTTGTAACTTTACCAAGACTTGGCGAAATTTCTTATCATTTTGATGATTCCAGAACCTTGCAATACACACAAATTCTTAAATGCTAGATGATCGACCTTTTCTGGTAGATTCCACACCGTTTCTTTTACCATGCAATCGCATGACCAGAACTCAACTTCATCTTTAAGTAAACGATAGGCTCTTCCTCTTTCCATGAATGCTCAAATTAAACAAGATGACTAGAATACGTGGATGGTGATGAATGATGTTGATAGATAAAATAAATTGTTGATTTTGTCGATGATGAGGGAGTCCGGGACACTGTTGATGTTAACATGACTTGGTGGAGAGAGCTGAAGAGCGCAGCCGGATGTTGCAAAAGCACGATGCAAATAATATTGTAGAACAGCATCTGAGGAACTAACACTTCAACACGTTCTGCTTCTAGTTAGTTTCCTTTTCTCGTGCCTTTTCTATTATATTTGTCGTTTCATTGCATATTTTTGTAATATAGTTATTCATTGTATTATGTTTTGCATAAGAAATAAAA